AAAAGTACTGCAGCTCATAAAATATCAAAAATAAGAGTACTGCAGCTCATAAAGTATCTAAAGTAAAAGTACTGCAGCTCATGTACCTCGAGTATTTGAAGGAAAAGTACTACAGCTCATAAAATATCAAAAATAAGAGTACTGCAGCTCATGTACCTCAAGTATCTAAAGGAAAAGTACTGCAGCTCATAAAGTATCAAAGTCTTACTCCTGCAGTAAAATGTCTCCTGTGACTGATTTATTCATATATAACATCACATTATTAAAACAGACAGTTTCAAACCTGCTCATTTTATTTCCACTTTATGTTACTTTATACTTCTACTGCACTCATGGGTGGATCATGAGACAGTGGACCCCTGGGCACAGATATGCAAAGGGCCCCACCACCTCTGCTACACAGTAGGAAGACACACAGACTCTGTGTGGGTTTGCATCTTTTTGTAGTAGTTGCTTTGTATTCATTTTATGTCTCCTAGTGGTTGTTTTGTATGTTTTGGTAATCATTTGTACATCTTTGAGGTAATTTTATGTCATATTGAGGTCATTTTGTGTATTTTCTGGAGGTTTTGTGTTGCTTTGTTGTCATTTTGCATCTCCTTTTGTTTGTTTTTTGTGTTTTTATGTTGTCAGTCTGATGTCTTGGAGGTATTTTGTGTCTTTTTTGGATGTTTTGTGGTAGTTTGAGTCTCTTTGAAGTAATTTTGTGTCTTTTTATAGTCATGTTGTGTCTCTCTGAGATTGTTTTGCCAATTTTTGTGGTTATTTTGTGTCTCTTTGCAGTTCCTTTGCATCTCTTCGTAGTCATTTTGTGTCTCTTGTGTATGCAGTTTCTGGAAAAGGCAAAAAAAAAAAGGCAGTGGCCAGTGCAAAGTTCCCTCACCACTGGGTGTCACAACAGCAGTGCTGGGTCTAACCTGTGTAACGGCAGCAACAGAAAGTTTGCTGATCCAGCAGGGAGTTGGGGCTGTCCAGGCTGTCAGAGTTAAAGTTTGCACTGGCAGAATTTGACTTGCCGTGAGCTCTTTTTTAGCAGAGGGCTAAACTATTAGCGACATTTTCTCTCAATCTCTGAAACACTTTGCTGATGCTGACATGTTTTGTTTTTTTGTCAGACTCTCTTTGATGAGCCCATCTTCCTTTCTTGGGTTGCTTTGCAGGATTCTCTGCATTTGAATCAGACTTGCACCATCTGAAGGAACGTTCATGCACATCTGTATTTGTAGAGCAGCCAATAGGAATGCCCCTCTCTCTGAAATGACCTGTGATTGGCCAAAGTCTCCTGTCAGGGATTAGATTTTCTAAAGCCTGAAACCAGAGCCTGCATCACTGCATCAGACTGAGGCCCTTTATTTTGCTTTTATTTACTTTATCTGCAGTGATGTTATGAGGAAGACTACATCTCCCAGCATGCCTCACAGGAACACTGCTGTCCCATAACTTTGGCAACCCAACACAGTTAAGTAATCAAAGTATCATCAGTTACATCTTAACTAACTCCTTAAACTCCTGTTGACCAGTGAAGTGACCGATAGTGATGTAACTGATGACCTTTGACCCCGGCAGGCTTGCTGCCTTAACAGCTCCATTATTGGTCCATTAAAGCTGAATATGACGCTGCAAACTGTGTGTGTGTGTGTGTGTGTGTGTGTGTGTGTGTGTGTGTGTGTTGGCTGTAACTCAACCCTAACATGGGAAGCTCCTCCAACATCTGAGAACCATTACTGCTATCACACACACACACACACACACACACACACACACACACACGCACACACGCAGGTCTCTCCGGGTTTTCTGACTCATGGATCAACATGCAGAGAACTGAGTCAGCACTTTTCCCTTCCATCCTTCCTTCACTCCTTCTTCCCTCCTTCCCTCTTTCCTCCTCTGTCTCAGTTCTCATGATTTCATCTCCTCAAGTGTGTTTGTGTTTCTGACGTAAAAACTGTTCACATTTGGCAGGAGAGTCTTATCACTGGGACACACACACACACACACACACACACACACACACACACACATACAAAGTGAACACACAATTTAGTGCAACCTCCTCTCCTCAGTTCATTCCCTTTCCTCTTCTCTCCTTGTCTCCTCTCCTTTCTTCTTCTTTCCTCTCCTTTCCTTCCTCTTTTCTCATTGTTTTTCTTCTTGTTTCCTTTCCCTTTCTTTCCTCTCATCTCCTCTCCTTGTCTCCTCTCTCCTGTCTCCTTTTGCTCCCCTCTCCATTCTCCTCAGTTTCCTCCTCTTCTTTTCCACTTCTTTCCTCTCTTTGTCTCCTCTCCTCTTTTCACTATTTCATCTCCTCCCCTTTCTTATTATTTCCTTTCCTCTTTTATCATTGTTATCTTTCCTCTTTTTCCTTTCCTTTCCTTTCCTTTTCTTTCCTCTCCTCTTTACTCAATGTTTCCTCTCCTTGTTTCCTTTCCCTGTCTTTCCTCTCCTCCCCTCTCCTTGTATCTCCTTCTTTGCTCTCCTCGTTTTTCATTTTGCACTCTTCGTGTTTCTTTTCCCTGTCTTTCCCCTTCTCCCCATTCCTTTTCTCCTCTCCTTTATTCTCCTTTCCTCTCCTCGTCTTTCCTGCCATTGGTTCCTTTCCTTGTCTCCATTCCTTTATTCTCCTTTCCTCTCCTCTTCTTTCCTCCCTTTGTTTCCTTCCCTTACCTCTTTTCTCATTGTTTCATCTTCTTGTTTCCTCTCCTCTTTTCTCCTTCGTACCTCTCCTTGTTTCCTTGTTTCCTCTTTGAGATGCAAAACAAACTTCTGCAGAAACCTGACCTCTGTATGTGTGAGTGCGCGCGCATGTGTGTGTGTGTGTGTGTTGCGGGGAATGAAAAGGGTCCAATTTCAGCCAGAAAACGGTTTCTCTCTCTGTATGTGGAAATATTCTTGGAAACTACCAGAACCTTTTCCAACATAAATAAGACTGCAGCTGTCCACACACACACACACACACACACACACACACACACACACACACACACACAGTAATGCACAGGACTGAAAGTAATCTACAACAATTACAGATTTTGCTACAGAGCTTTAAAGTGGAGCTGCAGTTTGTCCTGAGGGCGGAGCTGCAGGAAAAGGTCATATTAAATATTAGAGGAGTCTCCAACGATTCAGCGTTTAACATTGTTGGATCCACGATGGACAGTTTACTCCTCATTGTCTTCCTCTTTGTCACAACCTGATGCATACATTACCCACAATGCAACTCAACTGCTGACAGAATCATATGTTATTCCACTAGCAGCTTCAAGTTCTTCTTAAAACTTTAAAGGTTTTATGACTTGTTGTTCGATCACATCTGAAATGATTTTAAAAAGCAGGCAAGACATGAAAACAAAAACCTTTAAAAGAACTGATAAAAGCACTTTGGTGCATAGTGTTTAGAGTTTAAATGGATTTAAAACTCAAGTAAAATCAGGAAAGGCTCTCCAATAAAAGAAGGGACTTAAAAGCGATCACTGACTCAGTTGACCTGCTTTCCTCGGGCAGATTGTTCCAGAGCCTTGGGGCCCTGACAGCAAACACTCTGTCCCCTTTAGTTTTCAGCCAGGCCTCTGGAACAGACAAAAGACCTCTGCTGCCCGAGGACCTCAAAGTACGTCCTGGCATGTTCGTCACTAAGAGTTTAGAGATATAGCTGTGAGAGAGACCATTAACAGTAATCAGTAAAATCATAAAATCTCTTCTAACACACTCATGGCAGCTGAATTCTGTCCAGTCTGGAGTCGATTAATAGATTTTTGATTCAGGTGGGAAAAGAGGCTGCTGCAGTGATTTCAGGTGTGAAGAGATGAAGGTGTGCTAAATGGTCTCTGTGTCTGTAAAAGTTAAAATGGATCGTACTTTTGAAATATTCCTAAGATGATGAAAGCTTTGTGAGGTGGTGCTCAAAACTGACTGTCAAACCAGACTCCCAAGATTCCTTTGGTCGTAATTGCTTTCACGCCAAACGAACGATGCCAAAGTCCACTTGGAAACGAACTGAGACTCTCTTTTTCAGGCGACAAATGCAGCACAGTCTAACTAAACCACACCACACAAGTTAGGTATGAAAATGACACAAAACTACTCACTTTGGAAAGATATTTGATAATTATTGTGATATATTTAAACAGTGCATATGCTCACACTGGTCTGTAAGAAAATGAGAAATAGTTGGGTTACGTGTTCCTCCTTAAAAACTAAACACCAGAGTTAACTGTAGTTCTAAATGAAGGACAGTTGGGTTCGATAAGTCCAACACAAACACACATATTTTTTATTGAAATGAATGTAATTATTAAATGAATGCTGTTTCAGAGTAAATGCATTAGTTTTGTCAGCATCATCAGCTGCAGTTCTTACTGACCTGAAGGCTGTAGCAGCTCATAAAAGCAGAGATGTGGCTCCCTCTTGTGGACCACACAGGAAACAACACCTCTGCAGACCGACCTGTTCATAATTCAACCTTTTTAGCCTGAGATTACTGTTATTATTTTATAATTTAATCCCATTTTTATACATTCTTAGTTGTTTTGTTTGGTGTGTTTGTGAGTTTTTTAAATGCGATAAAAGAAACTGAAAACAAAACACACCCTGTGGTTTATTTTTCATACTATTAAAATCATATTTTAATTGATTTGACTTCGGTGTAGGTCTGTTATTTTATGTTCTTGTGTAGATGTGTCTCTGTTAGAGAGCACTGGTGTCAGACAGACAGACAGACAGACAGACAACGGGTTTCATGTTACCCAGCAGCAGTTCAGTGTCACCTCCTGCAGAGTTGGCCCAGTTCACAGTTTAACTCAGATGGGACAGACAGACTGCAGGACCACAGCTACTGAGACTGGATTTGTTTCTGGATCTGGTCTAATGTGGACCAGGTTTAGTGAGCACTAGGACCAGACCTGGTGTCTCACTGAATCAGAGTGTTTTGTTTTCTACTCTGGAACAGATGATGATGATGAAGGACAAAGTGTGTTTCTTTTCTGGAAACTGATCTGGATCACCTCTCTGCTGCAGTTTCTGTTTAAACTGGACTATCAGCTGAATCAGAGCCATTCTGAGCCGAGCCGGGCCAACGCTGAACATCTGAAGAAACAGGTTTTTATCTCATACAGTATATTATACATTATACATACAGTATATAACATTCATAGACTTATTTCTGTGCTTATTTTATGAGGTGAATGAACAGTGAATGTCCTAATCTATGTGACTGTCCATCTTATCCACATTAAAGACAATCACAACCATGTGCAGCAGGCTGGTCAGGACAAGTGCTAACATGCTCTCATTAACAATGCTAACATTTGCCAATTAGCACTAAACACAAAGTACAGCTGAGGCTGCACCAGAACATGTCACAGCCAAAGTACTGTGCACACTAACATGTTGACCTGACAATGGCGCTACATTAAAAGTCAGAGGATCACCAAATTTATTACAGTACATCCTGAAGGGAACATGAATGTCTAAACATTTCAAGGAAATCCATACAGTACTTCAGATATTTAATCTAGAACCACAACTGCAAAGCTTGTGGTTCAGTCGATGTTAAGATCTTAAACTGGATCAGTAAAAACTTTGACCTGCTGTTGGAAATCCAAAGCTTTGCTATATGACTAAATAACCAAAAACTACATTCCCATCAGCCTTAGCTGTACCAAATGTTAGCAAACTACAGCCCAGTCGCCACAGGAAAAACTGTTGGCATTCTACATATCTGCAAACCACGACTACATTACATTTGCACATTTCATACGTATTATTTCAGCATTTCTAAAGTGAGCATATGAGCTGACTTTGTCATCAGGAGGTGGAGGGGATGATGGATGGTGTGACACCTAGGTGAGACATCTGCCAGGCTGCAGACCACTATTTGAGACCTTCGAACAACAAAATTTTTAGCCCCCAAATATGGGTATTGGTTCGGGCACTTGTCACTGCGTTCTCAGTGAGTTTTTAGCCACCCAACATGGGTGTTCTTTGGCAAGTTGTTGCTATTGTGTGTTTTTAGGCATCTGTCACTGCATTTCCAGCAACTTTTTAGGCACCAAACATGGGTGATTTTTTCGGCACCCGTCACCAAACATTGGTATTATCTGGCAACCTGTTGCTTTTTTCCCCAGTGGCTTTTTGGCCCTCAAATGTGGGTGTTTTTAAGGCACTTGTCACTGTATTTCCAGCAACATTTTAGGCACCAAATGTAGGACGACTTGTAGGGCATCAAACATGGGTATTTATTTGGAAACCTTTTCGTTGTTTTTCTGGTGGCTTTTTTGCCTCCAGATGTGGGTGTTTTCTGGCACCCGTCACTGCATTTCCAGTAACTTTTTCGGCACCAAAATGTAGGTGTTTTTTTTTTTGAAAGCCTTTGCTGTGTTTCCTGCGGCTTTTTAGTCGCTAAACATGATGGTTTTTAACTGTCACTGCATTTCCAGCGACTTGTTAGGCACTAAAAGTGAGTGTTTTTTTAGCGTCCCATCTCTGTCTGTCCTGTGGCTTTTTACTCTCTCTTACATCACTCTTGTGATGTTTTGTGGTGACCCTTTGCTGTTTTTCTAGCTTGGATAGTGCCATGAAAAGTGTTTTTTTTTTTTACAGAGACATCACTGCTTTTTGAGCCCCTAAAACCAGGTGTTTTAAGCCAAAACTTAATCATAATCATGTAGTGTTTGTGCCTAAACCTAACTGCACGTTAACCACAGTGTTGTTGAAAGGTAAAGTTTCAACGTATCACCTACATAATGATGTGCAAATTTAATGTAGCCATGGTTTCCAGAAACACACAATACCAACATTTTTTCTGGGTTGCTTGCTAAAGATGGTGAATATGGTAAACATGCCTACTGAACATACGCATGTTAACATTGCTGTAGATGTTTTTAAGATATAATTGAGATTTAACTCCACCTACTCTGTTATTTTCTGTGTGCCTCACCCTGGATCGTTACATCTACTCCAAATATCATCCTTTCACTCATCTTGCAGGTTCACTCCAACCCTGTCCAGTCAGGTCTAGTCAGGTCTAGTCATGCAGTCCCTGACTCAGGAGATCCAGAGTTTCTCCCGGACGCGACTGAGGAAGCAGTGCACCCGGGTCACGTCACTGAGCGGCCGTCGCATCATTGAGACCTGGAAGGGTTCAACCATCACTGTGGTTGAAGACCCCGTCCCCCCAGAGAAGGTGGTGGGATACGTCCCGGACACTTCCTGGGACCTGCAGGTCGGCGTCATCAAGCCCTTCCTGCTGATGGGTGAGTCAGTGCCACACATAATGACAGAATGACTGAACAACACAATAAACAACCGTCAGAGTTCTGTCACTGCCCCCGACATCAGAAAGTCCACCTTCAGACATCTTTGATTTGATTTGTGTTAGACAGGTGGTGGATAGGGAGATATTTGAGCACACTGCACTAAGCGTCTGTGATGTCACAGATCTAGTTCCCGTAAAACTAATCAGTACAGTTTGTCATGACGTCTAAATCATAATTCCGATCAGGCCAACAATCATAAACTAACTAGCTAACCAGCCAACTGATAGTTAACTGAAAACCTTGGGGCTTGGCCCAGGTAGCAGCCGCTGCAGTCGATGGATGGGTCCACCTCCTCCCCCTGCTCTGTCCTGGAAGTCACCTTCAGTCCACCAACACTGATTACTGTCAGCTCAGAGCAGAGGGTAACATGAGCGCAGACGTGGGGGAGGCCCCGGGGACAGGTGACCCATCAGGGCTCAGTGCTGGACCATAAATGACCCCGTGACCTGAGGTAGACGCCGTGCATACACACAGCAGGGAACTCCTTTCCTCAGGTTAACGTTTTGGTTCAGCACCCTGGACAGCGTCTTGTGCCAAACAAAGACAGTAATTCACCGTGTGTGTGTGTGTGTGTGTGTGTGTGTGTGTGTGTGTGTGTGTGTGTGTGTGTGTGTGTGTGTGTGTGTGTAGGTTCTCAGGATGCTGCACATGACTTTGGCACTCTGAGAAAACACAAGGTGAGATTCCTTTCCTTTTCAGATCTATAAAACAACCGTCTTTCTACAGACTAATCAGCCGTGGCTTTGGTTTCTGCAGAGCACTAATGAGCTCTCAGACACAGGTTGAAGTTGTTTATTTGTTTATTTAACAGGGACCATACAGGTAAACACTGTCACAAAAGGATGCAACAGATTTCATGCTAATTTGCAGCCCCCGTCCCTGGTTTAGTCCTTTAATCTGGATAAAAGCAGCCAAACAGAAGCACAGAAGTGAATCCAATTAAAATGTATTCAGTGTTCACATCACTGTGAGTCAAATACATAATTTAGCAGGGATTCATTTCAAGAGTCTGTTTAGCCAAATAAACCTGATTCATGGAGCAGATTAACCAACATATGAAGAAATACAGGTGATAATTAAAACAGACCTCTCAGGGTGAAGCTAATGAGCCAACTCACTGTTTCCACAGAGACATTATACTTGTTATTTACATGACCCAAAGCATGATGGGAGTCCCACAGCAAAAACTCAAATCATATGTATCCTAAATTGAAATTAGAAGGAAGGAATAAAGGAAAAAAACAATGATAAAAAGGGATCTTCAGAAAAACCTGTAATTAGTGTAATTAGTAAATTCATCCTTCAGCCCTTCGTCCAGACTTGACAGAGTTTTTCTCCCCCAAAACAGAAAAAAATATCCTCTCAATCGTGAGTGCAAACCTTAAAACTTTGGCGGGAAACTGAACTTATTTAACAGTGATGTACTGTAAGAAAGCAGCAACCTGCAGAACTGAGAAATGAAGCCAACGCGGAACTGCCAAAAACTGCAGTTCCTCTAACGGCCACTTGAGGCTGGCTCCGAGAGCGAGTCAAGTCAAACTTAACATCGTGCTTTTGATGCACAAGAAAATAAGTAAATAAGAGGTGTTTTACCAATGTTGTGAGCAGAAACTGCAAAAACAGAAGTATATTTTGAAAAGACACAATGCATGTAACACATGCACAATGCAATTGGTGAGTTGGGATGAGAACATATGGAACACAGAGGGGCAAAAACTAACATAACACATAACTCACCTTTTTAAATGTCATCATGGCTTAAAGTTTTGCATAATTAAGGGTGGGCTGCTTTGACTGCTCCACCCCTCACTCCTCCACAGCTCTAGCCTGGAAATCCAGACCCAAATCTAGAAAGATTTAGGGTCTGGCTATGAGTAATGCAAATGGCCCAACTCGAGGGGTGGCACCAAGCATGCATTTGTAAATATCACTGCACGCAACTGGAAAACACTACGACCAATCAGAACAATACACGGGGTGAAGTATATGCTTAGCTACCAGCAAAGGAAAGACTCGAGCGCCGTCTTCTGTTCCTCTTTTAGAGAAAAAGCCAAGTCTAACTCGTTCACTGTAGCGGCCAAAGCCGTTTCAAACAACTGATGTTCATCCGTAGCCATCTTGCAATGTTTACTGACTGATTCCGGACTTCGTCGTCGCAGTGCTGTCGTCATCTGTTTAGCTCGGCTCTGGCCCGCCTATATCAGATACACCGATGTGATTGGTGCAGCTTGGCTCCAACGACATAGGTAATGAGCATCATTACTGATTGCCAGAGTGACTCGCTGAGCAAATTCAAATTGTGCTCTCACGAGAACTCAGGATTTCCAGAGTACCACAGCTCCACCCTCTCATCCAAATATGGTCACTTTTGGCTAATAAAAACCCAAGACGTTGACTCTGAAATGCCAAACTTAAGGCTTCAAAATTGGAGTCCACAAACCAAGAGGTGACATTACAGTGGCTACATCCATTATTTTTTTTACAGTCTATGACTAGCAAAGATAAGAAGTGGACCTTTAGTCGCCGCTGACCTTCACTGTGAGCGTTCAGTTCATATTTGTCAGATGACGTCATGATTATAAAATAATGATTTGTTCAGCCGGTGGTCTCTCCCACTCCTCAGAGGGTGACAGCTGTGATGCATTTTTATTTGTTTGCCAACTGAAAGAGGGTGAAGAAGAGGAGATTTAGATGTTTTCATGATGTTTTCATGGCGGATAGAAAACTCAAAATGACTAATGTGGATGCAGATTTTATTCACACGAAAACAGAGTATCAGAATAAAGACAGCCTGATGTAGATGTAGCTTCAGACTTTTAATGATTTTGTCAAAAGGTTGAAAATAAAGAGAGAGGAAAGTGAGCAAGGAGAACTGAGATGAAATATAAAGATACTGCTATACAGCTATGAACATCAAAGTGAAGTCTCTTCCTCTTCCTCTTCAGGTGTCTCACATCCTGAACGTGGCCTTCGGGGTGGAGAATGTGTTTCCTGATCTGTTCATCTATAAGACCGTCAGTATTCTGGATCATCCTGACACTGATGTGCTGCTTTACCTGCAGGACTGTTGTGACTTCATCCAGCAGGCTCGCGCTGAGGTAACACTTAAGATTAAATCAATCAATTTATTATTCATTCATTCATTCATTCATTCATTCATTCATTCATTGCACTAATACCCAAAGAGTGATAGAGAACAATGATATAAGACAGAGAGAGGCAGCAAAGCCTCACATTAAAGGAGCTTGAATTGTGTTGTGTAAGTGTTTTGGCTTTTTTTCTCCCTTAAGATGATATTAAACATTAATCACTTTAAAAACTGACTTTCAGCGATTGGCCTTGACTGTCTAAGCTCTGCTGTTAACTTACAACAGAACATGAATCCTCTTCAAACATCCTGTCTGCAAACACAGCGAGAGATGTCTCACCCTGCAGAAAAAAATGTTCCCATCTCCAAGCCGATCTCTCGTGTTGCTGTTGCACGTTTCACTTCACCGTGGACGATCATTACTGAAAAGAGAATCTGACCGGCTTTAATATTGTTGTTAACACGAGTAAGAAGAGACAGGAACTTTAAAGTACTGGAAACTAACTAAATAAAGGAGGTGAGAGCTGCTGCAGCTCAGGTGAAACCAAATGACCGGATCAAGTCCAACAACAGGAAGCAATCCCATGAGGCCAAAGGATTATGGGAAGAAGGAGACAGATGTAAGGGCCTTAAAATGAGGGTTGACATGTGACACATGTTTGGACATCTCCTCTCCTTCTCTCCTCTCCTCTCTTTTAAATAATAGATGCTTAGTTTTGTTCATGTTTTATTAAATCTGCACACAGATCAGATCTCAGTGTCATACAAGCTTTTAGCGGCGAAGCCTGCAGCTCACCTTAACATGACACCACACACACACACACACACACACACACACACACACACACCACGCGTGCGCGGCGAGTCATTAGGCAGTCATTAGGGGTGTATGATTACAGGAAGTGTGTGTGTTCATTATGAAATGTTTCTGTGTGTGTGTATGGGGTAACTCCAGCCCTGATAATCAAACTGATGCTTTTACTTTGAAAAGTAGGGTCAGATTACCCAGCAGGCCATCTGGCTGGTAATGACACTCACATATTGACGCTGTCATGACAACAGCAGCATTATGTGACTACGTTCATGGCTACAGTACAGATACATAAACTGGTGGGCATGCTGAATGTGTTTGTGCCACAGTTTTAATAACACAATTTACAGCTACGGTTTTGTGAAAATGTCCTGAAATTGTACCTGCATATACCTCAAACAACTCAACCCAAATTTCAAGTCATGCTTTGCTCAAATTTGTGGGTATTGTTCTGAAGTTTTGGGTTCTTTCAAGACAAAAGTTTGGTCCAAAACCCAGCCAAATACTTGTGACCCTAAGTATTTATTTATTTATTCAACCAAATTTTTTGGCAGCAGGCTGAGCACAGCACCCCACGTCCCTCTCCCCAGCAATGCTTTCCAGCTTCTCCTGGGATCCCGAGGCGTTCCCAGGCCAGATGAGATATAATCCCTCCAGCGTGTTCTGGGTCTGCCCAGGGGCCTCCTACCAGTCGACGTGCCTGAAACACCTCTAACAGGAGGCGCCCAGGAGGATCCTTTTGACGTGAAGGAGCAGCGGCTCTACTCGGAGCTCCCTACGGATGTCCGAGCTCCTCCCCCTATCTCTAAGCCTAAGCCCAGACACCCCACGAAGGAAACTCATTTCAGCAGCTTGTATCGGCGATCTCATTCTTTCGGTCACTACCCAGAGCTCGTGACCATAGGTGAGGGTTGGGACGTAGATGGACCAGTAAATCACCAGCTTGGCTCAGCTACATCTTCACCCCGACAGTCTGGCACAGCACCTGCATCACTGCAGAAGCTGCAACAAACCGCAGATCCATCTCATGCTCCATTCTTCCCTCACTCCTGAACAAGACGCTGAGATACCTAAACTCCCATAGTTGAGGCAGGAACTCCCCCAACCCAGAGGGGACAATCCACTGTTTTCCGGCAGAGAACCATGGCCAGAGGTGCTGACTTTCATCCTGACCACTTCACACTCGGCTGCAAACCGCCCCAGTGCATGCTGGAGGTCATGGTGGGATGAAGCCAACAGAACCACATCATCTGCGAAAAGCAGAGATGCAATTCTAAGGTCCCCAGACCGGACCCCGTCCTCCCCCTGGCTGTGCCTCAAGATCCTGTCCATGAAAATCACAAACAGGATCGGTGACAAGGGACCAAGATGAAAGTGCTGATGCCGAGTTATGCGAGCAAAAACATTTTTAGATCAACCAAACAACTAAGACTTTTTTAGGCAGCCAAAATGTTACAATTAAATTTCATGAACTGAAAACACACTGAAATAAGAACAGCTATGGCTACGCCTACACTCTGTGGATCTGGGGTTATGCCATTGTCACGTACCATCCAATGTTGTAGCGACTTTTCGATGGACAGTACCTACCTGTCACTGAAAGCAATCACACCCTTAATCATGCATAACTTTAAGCTTTATCTTTGAGTTTCTTTTATAACACAGTATTTTGATCTGGTTTTACCTGAATGTCCAGGTTTGTACACATATTATCATGACTTCTAGTGAAAATAAAATAAATGCCAACCTTGAATCTATTAACAGTCTGTCTTGGTGGAAGACTTTGACCTTTTAAGTAAAGCCCTTTGTTTTCCGTCCTCAGATGAGAAGTTTGATACCAGTTCAGTTCAGGCTGCAGCACTGTGAGGCCCAGCCTGGTAACTGGGACACAGCTGTCGTGTAAACCTTCCATGAGAAGGAAAAGAGAGGCTGTAATGGAGAAGCTAATGGACACAAACAAACAAGCCATCTATTAACTTAATAGAGGTGATAGAGGTAGTTGCGGTGTGCAGCTCAGCTCGACCAGCTGATGTTGACTGTTCTGTTGGTGTGTAGAGCCCCCTAATGTTCAGAGAGCATCGCTGCAAGTCAAGGTCAAGTTTCTTCTCATCAGCCTAGTTCCAATCAGCACTGGACCCTTCGTAGACATTAAACGCCACCTGTGACATCCCTTTAGTGTGGGCGGGCAGGAGGGTTTTAGGGCTCTTTGTGATATCACCTCAGTTGGACATTTCTGTGCACAGTAAAGTGTGAGGCTGAGTGTGCGTGTGTGTCTCTCTGCTGATAAGTAGTAACAGTTCTGTTGGACTAATGTGAAGTCAAATCCTAGCTTCATTAGACAAACAACTACACATGCTGCTGTTAGTGACTCATTATCTGTGTTTTTAGTCAAAAGGAAAATGTCATCCTGCCAACTCCTTCCATGTTTTGTTTCTTTTTTTTTTTTATTTTGAGCAGTTCTGCTGCCATATCCACATCCAAACCCAGTGCAATGTGGGTGTCCCTCTTTGTCAAAATCTGCAAAGTTGCAGACGTACAAAAAGTGTTCATAGAGATCTCAACAAGTCTGTGACGGAGCCTATAAATTTGTATATAGTCTATAGAATGTATAGACAATATATAATACAGACATTTACTGTTCTTACTTTCAGCAAAACCAAGCTGTAAAACACATCTTGCAGGTAAACATACACGTGGAGTGTTAAGCAGCTAAAGAGAAAGATACTTTCTCAGGAGTTGTTGAAGACTTAGTCTGACCCACTGGATGCAAAGTGTGGCAACACATTCTCACTCCAACCTGGTCACATAGAGAGTGTGCCAGGGCTGACGTCAAAACCCGCAAGTTTAGCATCGCGCTGGTTCCCGGAAGAGAAAGTGAATGTGATTTTTGCATTGCGTTTTGGATTATGTCAGAAAATAAGCTCTGTGGCTAACACAAGTTTATGATACTTACAGGTTTTGTTCAGCGAGATAATCTTCACATATGAACACCTTTCATACCACATTTGAAGCTTAAATGCGATCGCCAGAAGTAAAAAGCTAATGTTAGGCTTTAACGGACTACATGACTACTCCACAGTCGCATGACTCTTGACGTCACCGCCACTAAGCTTTCAACTGATTTCGGCTGCTTTATTTTAAAAACATTGTATAATGGGGAAATCGGACTGTTTAAGCTAAATAAGAAGCTGTAATGGCGGACTGCCAGCACTCTCTTCTGTTCTGGGGTGATGACGTTTAATGTCCCCGATAGGGTTTGTAGTCGTATTGAGCAACTTGTTAGCAACCGCCTTTTTTACAACACGTACAAGCTTCAAAATTGACAAGTAGGGTATTTACTGACATGTTTTATGTCATAGAACAAAACCTGAAACTCGCTAAAGCTTTTGTTAACCACAGACCTTATTTGAGGCATTTTACCAAAATCCCATTCAAAAAACGAGACGAGAGAACCAGAAGTGCTAAAAGTGCTAACGGAGTTCCGGGTTTACTGGCACACTCTACTGACATTTGGTCATGGACTTTTCACATCCAGATACGATGTGAAAGGTACCCTGGGTGCGTTGGTGACACTGTGTCAAGTTCTGCCTGTTACATGCATTGTCTTCTTTCAAAGTACGCTTCTGTTGTCACAGGAAATGTAACGTTTACATACAGTCTCTTTCAAAATAATTTTTTTTCCCTTCAATAACAAAAGCATGTGGTTGGGTTAAGATAAAAAGGACAGGGTTCGGCTTTATAGTCTTACAGGACACAAACACCGCTCTCCTGGGTGAAAGTCGGTGTTTGTTGGACCCTTCTATCACCTCTCCTGCCCGCTCTACTTGAACTTTCGCCGCCTTAATTTTTGTTCCCTCTGCATTTCCCCCGGACACTGTGTATCTTGCTGATGTTAAAGGACACCTTGTTTTGTCGGTGTCTGACACCACAAGTCACTGGCGAAGTGTCGGATTTCATCAAATTCGGAGTGAGACCAGGTTGATTGTGGCTGTAAGCCTGCCATTGTGATGCTGATTTAGACCGGCAGTCTCCTGTCCTTGCACTACCTGCATGTTACTGTTTCCAGTATCCCCTTCACTTTGAGAAACAACCTTAAAGCTTACAACTTACAGTAAAACAACTTGTGAACGCACATCAGAAAAGCTCAGACTCTGTTTCGCAGGACTCTTGTGCCCGATGCTGATCTCTTTTCAGACGTGGCCAGTCAGAGTTGATTTGCTACATCTTTTAACTCTGGCAGCAGCATGTACCAGTGACACTGACTTCACTAATGTACAGATCTGTTCCACATCACACAAACTTCTGTGGTATCATTGTAACAGTGGCAGTAACTCAGGGGCAGTAGTAAATCAGTCCATAGGGACTTGGGTTGGGAACTGGAGGGTTGTCGGTTCAGTACAAGAGAGTGTTGGAAATAGAGCTTTTTTTGCTTCATGCATCACTGAGTAGTAATAGGAATGTGCGGGTCCTGCTGCCAATGCTGTATCCAGGTCTCTTAATTCATCCATGGTCTGTGTGATGTGTTAATTAGTTAGGTTAGAGTTTCTCTTTTCTTCTGAAGTCAATGAGTGCAGCTTTAACATTTTCTGTTTCTCCAACAGAAAGGTGTTGTGCTGGTCCACTGCAACGCTGGCGTGTCACGGGCACCAGCAATAGTCATTGGCTACCTGATGTCATGTGAAGGCCAGACCTTTGACGCTGCCCTCTCATTGGTCAAATCGGCTCGACCGGCCTCCTCCCCGAACCCTGGCTTCCTGGAACAACTGAGGAGCTTCAAAACACCTACAGTGAACGGATCCAAACACTGAAGGAGGAAGAGAAGATGATCACGGTGGTTAGACAGTTTAATAATAATAGTAATAATGATTAAATTTATTTGCATAGTACATATTAAAACCAGCATCACAGTATAAGAGCAAAATAACTTTGATTTTTAATGAGAAATATTGAATGTGACTGAAATAAGCTAAATTCAAAAGACATTTTCTCTCTTCCATTTAACTGTAGGCTTTTTATTAGACGTGCTTTAATTTGTCTTTTCCTTTGTTTTGGAGACAAAAAGACATAATTTTCTTGTCTGCGTGTTATTACTGATGATGTCTTCTTCTTCTTCTTCGTGTTTTGATGCTGTCATTCTGTCTGAGTCATCTCTGTGTTTTGTTAAATTAAATCTCTGCGGGGGAGTTTCGTCCTCTGCATTTGACCCATCCTCACTGTTTCGGAGCGGTGGGAAGCCACAAACTCCACAATGTTTTATTTCTAAAATGAATAAAAACTTAAATGACAGAAGTAAAAAATGTCTGCTGTATCTGCTCAATTTTATTACTTCGAGTATGAAACCATCCGTCATGAAGTCTCATGCACGGACAAGTGCGTGTGCTTCATCTCTGCTCAGTGGAATTCACAAGAAGAGACCAAACACAGGCACACCACTCTCATACAGAAGTAATTTAAAGGTCCAGTGTGTCAAATTTAGGGGGATTTAGTGGCATCTAGTGGTGATGATTGCAGATGTAACCAGCTGAAACTTCTGGTTAAGCAGGATTTATTCTTCTGCATTGAATCAACAGCGTACCCTACGCTGTAGCCTGACGTGCACCTCCACAAAAATGTAACTACACATTGCGGCGACTGAAACCATTTCCCTCAGTGGAAACAAAGCTTTTATTTACTTTAATTTCACAGATAAGAAACAATAAATTGTGAAGACAATAAAGCCTCTACAAAAATAGCATTTTAAGTCTTGTGTGATTTATCCTGGCTTCATATGAGCAGCTAGCCACTAGGCTAATTTATACAATGTAAAATGCCATAGGCTTGTGCTAATAACATTAGCATGTTGTATTTGTGGGGAAAATATGTCCAGATAAAGACAAGTGCTTTGTCTGTGAATGCTGCGAGTTATTATTTGTGTACTTGTGTTTGAAATTGTTGCCATTAAGCCATGTTGAATGTGTGTTTTGGGTGTGTTTTGAATCATGTAAACTTTACAGCACTTCATAGAAATCCTGCTGTCGACTAGTGTTTTGGAGGTGTAACTGCAGAGTGACACACGGCGTAGGCTCTGCATAGAGCTCATGCACAAGTACAAATCCCATTTCATTCTAAGGAAACGAAAACACAGCTATTCTTGTGTTTTACTATTCTAAACGTGGACCCCATTGACTTCAATCCATCGAGAATTTTCTCAGTTTTTGGGTTCTGAAGGGAAGAGAGAAGAACGAGTTTTCCTCACAAATTCAACATAACACGAGGTGAGTAATTGATATACTCAGGATCATTTTAAAGGTGAAGTGTTCCTTTAAAAAGTCAGCCATAGATTGTGTTTTAAACCAATTCATGGATTCATCCAATGTTCACTTTAGTAGCCAGCAAACTACAGCTTTTAAAATTGCTAAAACTAGTTGTCATGTCAGTCTGTGAATCAGTGGCTGCCAACTAGAAACGAGAGGCTTTTTTGTTATTTCTGTGTGAAATAATTGTTTTAAAAATTGCCTTGAATTTTAGATGGTAGATCTACTCCCATTATCACTGCATATGTGCAGCTGGTGTAAAATCCTGCTGCTACAGTCCACACACACACTGACCCTCTTTATATGGCTGCAACCTCCTGCTTAAAGGGCACGAGACCTCGAAACACTTCTGAGTCTGAACAGAGCGAGAGAGGCAGCGAGAGGGAGACAACAGCACTCAGACAGACTGAGAGCTGCTGAGCAGTATGTGGATGGAAGCAGGAGGAAGATGTCTCTCCAACATGTGAAAGAACACAGAAATACAGAGTCCTCCGTCTTTGTGGAGTGTCCTCTTCCTGCTCCGGTGGTCTCTGCTGACGATGGGCTCCTTCTGCTCTGCTCTGGACAGGAAGATGGTGGTTGTGACGGTGACGCCACATGAGGAGTCTCCTGTTCAGACAGTGACAGGTCAGACAGTCGTTTCCTATCTCTTTATACCTGAATAATAGAAGTTCTTCAAATCATGAAAGCTTCCTGTTGCAGTGAGGCTGGACTCCTCTACCTCCTCTGTGCTTGTCATTATTCAGCACTTCATCATTCTGATATTGTGATGTTTGGCCCTGAGACAGTTTGGTGTAGATGTAAGTATAATGTGAGCAGTGTGTAAGTACAAAGTACAATGTTCCTATTCAGTGCTGATCTTTTTGGAAAGAAGATAATGTATCTCTAAAGACATCCTGGTTAAATAAAAGTACAATAAAATAAAACGGGTCAAAGTTTAGACGCTTTCACAAATTGTTGTGCTATCAATTGATCTTAAAATTAAAGTATTTAAATTGTGTTTTCCATTAAATTATAACAACATTCAGATTAAAGTTTCTCTGTGCCCACCTTAAATCTCAGTTTAACTCCTGGGTGTATATGGAAGCGAACAAGAGACATATAGTACTTTAATTTTTAGCAGCCACTGAATTCATAGCATTAAAATATTTAACTTTGAAAACCAATTGAAAACGAATTTATTTGTTCTGAATTTACCTCTTTGAAGCTAAAATATGAAATTTCATGATTACAATTTGAAAAGCTGATTTTCTGAGGTCACAAATTCAGATCCACAAATTCCACAGACTTTCAAAAAAACAAAAGAAGAAATAAAATAAATAATAATAATAATAATAATAATAATAATAATAATAATAATAATAATAATAATAATAATAATAAATAATAATAATAATAATAATAACAATAATAATAATAATAATAATAATAAATTCACTTGGTTTAATTCAGATCCAAAAAAGTAAATTTATTTTATTTAATTTATTTTTTTATTCTGAAGCTTGAATTGTTGAAATCATCATATTTTCATTTTAAAGAGGTGAATTTAAAACAAATAAATTTAGATTTAAATATTTAAACTATATGAATTCAGTGGTGTCTGAATTTTAATATTCAGTGGTGGTTAAAATTAAAATACTTGTGTCTCTTATGAGGTGTACCTGCAGGATTTTGTGACATTACAACTTGTTTGGAGACCAATGTGGACTACGCTGAAAGCTGACTTTGAGTTTCTGTTTCTTGAAGTTAAACTACAGAAATGATCAATATCTCCATACTAAATGAAGGATAAGCAAATTTAATTTCGAGATCGTTTTTCTCTAGTTAATTAAACCTTTTGTAGAAAAAAATAAATCAGCCACAAGTTATTATTCAAAGCAGATGAATGTGTCCTGAAACATGTCTGAAGGGAATCTTTCAAATGTAGTTAATTAAACTGATGAAAAATAGTGGGTTTTATGGCTTCTGTCAGATGAAGGTTTATAAATAAATCTCTCCGCTCTGCCGATGTCATCGTACTTGTTGCCTCTAAAGCCTTTTGACTAACAAAGACCTGAATATATTACGGAAATGCACACACTCATACACACACACTCATACACACACTCCTCCAGCTGCCCATGTGGTCATCTTTAATTGTCTCTCCAGTGTTGGTGCTGATTATGAAGAACGAATTAACAGTCAATTAGCCACATGACCAATCAGACAGTCTGCCATTGCCATGAGGGTTTGTTTACAACCATAAGAGCCGTTCTGTTGGATAACATGGACACACACACACGGACTGTAATACACATTAACACACTTTGCTAATCCAACTGTTAACGTCACAAGTCTAAGGACAGAAGAGAAAATCCCTGCTGAGTTATAAACTGCAGAATGTTTGTCTGACCAACAAAGAAGTGTGTGTGCTGTCAACATGAGGGACACAACCAGACTCAACAATCAGACAGCAGCTGCTTCTGATCTCTTCTGGTCTTTAGCATGGTCTTATCTAGTCTATTTTTCTGTAATCTCTGCACACAATAATTTACTCGTAGAACATAAAAAGTTGAAAAAAGAAGTCCTGACATTCCAGGGCTGCAATATAACTCAAACAAACATGGTTGTATGCGAACCAATCAAACTGCAGTTACAGTTTACAGCCATGTCTGTCCAGACTCACCCGTAGCCATGACAGTTTCAGAGTCAACAATAGAGATATTAGTGAGGTACTGCATTCACAGGAATGAGATGGACGCAAGGTCACAGTAACCATGACGAATCAGTCATTTTTTGAGTGCAAGTGAACATTTGTGCCAAATTTTGGGAAATTCCCTCAGGGCATTCTTGAGATGTTATGTTCACAAGAATTGGGATATTGCTTTTAGAAGAATGTGATGGACACAAGGTCACAGTGACCCTTGACCTTTGGCCACCAAAATCTAATTAGTCATTCACTGATTAAAGTTGACATTTGTGCCATATTTGAAGACATTCACTTAAGGCTTTCTTAAGTTAATGCTTTCACCAGAATGAGCCACAATCTAATAAATTCATTGTTGAGTCCAAGTGGATGTTTGTGCCAAATCAAAAGAAATTCACACAGTGTTGTTGAGATATCGCTTTCAGCACAATGGGATGGACGCAAGGTCACAGTGATCTTGAACTTTGACCACCAAAATATAAGCAGTTCATCTTTGAGTCCAAGTTACGTTTGTGCCAAATTTGAATAAATTAACTTTGGCATTCTTAGGCTGTTGCTTTCACCAGACTGAGACTGATGCAAGGTCACAGTGACCTCTGACCTTTAACCACCAAAACTGAATCAGCTCATCTTTAGTCCAAGTGGATGTTTGTGCCAAATTTAAAGAGATTCCTTCAAGGTGTTTTTCAGATACAGCATGATCCCTCATACTGTACAGTACTGTGAAGATTGTCATGCTCTAAAAACTAAAGACAGGCGCAGCTAAAACGGCACTCAGTTGTGTTTGAAACTATTATTTCATTTTAATATTATGCAAAGATTTTCTATATATTTCAATATGTTTACTCCAGAAATGCACAAAACTTTCAACATCATTCCGTCATTCAAATGTTGTTTGAAAACAGTGTGTCAGTCATTGAAACGTGTGCTAGATACACAATGTTTCTGCAGGTGGTGGAAGATCAATGAGAAAAGAGTTCTTGGACTTTTAGAAATGTGATCACTGAATGCATTTTGTGTGAAAGCAAAGAAAAATGATTCACAGTTTGGCCCACATAGACTTCTGAGGAGTTTTGACAACGTGACTTCAGTTTTGATCAATGCATGTTAGCAATCGAGCCCTCCTCCTCGTTTACTTCCTCCCACACAGCCTTTATATCCAGCTTTTTCTTTGTCTCTCATTTTACTGTCTTGTTTCTTCCTCTTTTCTTTCCTGCAGCCATTTTATAATCACCTTCTCCTTCAGCTGTGTCATTAATACGAGCTATTAAGTTTAGACAGGAAGTAATGAAATGATCTAAAAACAGAGATCATGTATCATAGATCATAGTGTCATTTGACTCAGAGCACAACACTGAGTCAGAAATCAGTAAAGTAAAACTAAAAACTAAATACGTTTCCTGTTGTCAGACTGTTCCAGTATCTGCTGTGGATCTTTTTAATTTCAGTCTCTTTTAGCTTCGTCTATTTTTAGCTCTGACGTCTCGTGCAATTTGCGAGGGTCAGAGTTATGTGGAAAATTCCTCTGAAGAGCAGGTGGAGTCACAAGAGAGGGGAGGTTGTGGTCAGGGAGAAAAGAATAAGATCACCCTCACCATCTTCCAATGACTCTGCACTTTGTGACCTTTATTCTACTGTTTCACTCTTGACAGTACCATCAGTATCAACAGTCCACACCAGGGACCTCACAGAATCTATGAAACTGTTGAAAAGCTCAATGGCCCGAAAAACAGTTTCATATTTTTAAAACAGTGTTGCGTTCCTCTTCCTCCATCAGGTGACTCTCTACAGCCAATCAAGGCGATGAGTCTGCAGCATCCAATCAGGAACAGGTGCAGCATCCGGAGGCGACCCACCAATCACTGCGCTGTGAAAAACCCCAGGACCTGGTAAAAGACTTAAGAACTTAAGATTCAAAACTCTTGCTGTCTGGCAATGGGCGGATGATTCTTTTCACAGTTTCAGTGTTGATTTGATTGAGTTGCTAATAGCTAATAGCAGCTGATAGCAGCAGCGGCTAACATCCAACACTGAGCTATTATATGATCCCAAAAGTCTCAGACTGACACTGAAACGGTTTTACTTGTTGTTCGTCACCGTTGGGTAATGTTAGCCACGTTAGCCCTCTCAGTGTGTGTGTGCAGATTGTTCTCATAAACTGTTAGGTTTTCCTAAGAGAAGTCATGCACACAATAATTTGGGCATAACGAATGTATTTTGGAAGGCTGCAATCATTTGACCAATGTGCTGGCTGGAGATAAGAAGGAAGCGGTCTGTAAGGAGGCAGGTTGGGGTGTTGGATGGGTCACAAACCCAGGACTTCCCCCAGGAGAACCTTGTGAACTCTGAGTAAACTTTTAGCCATTTCAAAGACGCAACTTTACGTTAAGGACGTACCATCATTTGTGGTGGTAATTTGCGGGATAACATACACAGCAGTGTTAGCAGTGGTTAGCACTGACCCCTTCTGTGTGGAGTTTGCATGGTCTCCCTCGTGTCAGTGTGGGTTTCCTCCAGGTGCTCCAGCTTCCTCCCACAGTCCAAAGACATGCAGGTTAATTGGTGACTCTAAATTGTCCATAGGTGTGAATGTGAGCGTGAATGGTTGTCTGTCTCTACAGCCCCTTTTACACTGCCAGATTCGGTGAATGTTGGGCCGTTTTGCCGGCAAGCTGCGAGCGTTTAGACACACAGAGCTGGATTGGCGAGTTGATCCGAAGTGCCCCCAGTTTTCCGCCTCGTAGGGTAGACATATTGGCGGAACCCTTTTAGTTTAAAAAGAACAAGGCGGCCTTCCGCCACGGGAGGGGCTGTTGAAGACTTGTGGGAGGAGCTGTTGATGACGCCGCATGTGCGTGCCACTGGTGGTGGATAAACAGGAAACAGCTGATAGCAGGAATTAGCGAGCAGCTAGTAGCAAGAGGGAAACACAAACCTGACAGACACTGTAAAGATGAGCAACTGGGGAGACAAGGAATTGTGCGCCCTCCTTGTCCTCGCAAACGAAGAGGCCATTAACCGTCAGATGACGGGGACGGTGAAGAACGGGCCGACTTACGAGAGAATCGCCGAAGGACTGACCAGCCGCGGCTTCCCTCCCACGTCACTGTTTACGTCACATGCTGAGCTACACATTTTGTTACTTGCTCACGCCCCCCATTGTCCCAAAAAAGGCGCATTCTGTATAAACAAAAGTAGGTAGGCGGCATTTTACTGCACTCCCCGATTTTGTTTTTATACTGCCAATGCTGAAAAAAGACTGATTGGGCTTTCCTGCAAATTTGCACAATTCCTGTTTAAAAAGGGCTTCTGTGTCAGCCCTGTGATATTCTAGTGACCTGTCCAGGGTGAACCCCGCCTCTCACCTAATGTCAGCTGGGATAGGCTCCAGCCCCCCGTGAGCCAGGACAGGATAAGCAGATATGGAAAATGAACATACAAAACTTTGTGCGTGCATTTTTGTATGATATCATATGAACTTTAGGTTGGTGTGTGTTGCTGAGGCACAGAGCTCTGGTCTTGCATCAGTGTCTCATGAAAAACAGAGATAGTGTCAAGGGAGGGGCGCTGACTGGACAGAATTGCACAGTCGTGTATAAATCACGGGTATCGGCTGAATTTGCATCAATTGTTGCGATGGCAGCATCCTGATGGGACTGATTAAAAGTATATCTGTAGAGGTTAGTGGTGATTCTTGAAGACAGTCTGAATATTGTTGTGTGGCTTTAAAGAGAGAGACGTTTGGAGCTGGAAAGATGATGATCTGGCTATCAAAATAAAGCTCCCACAGATGGAGATATCCATGGTAACAATACTACAAAGTGACAACAAACAAACTTTAAAAGTGCTTTATGGTTTATTTAACACCGCTCCTGCTCAGTGGATCTGGATGAGCAACTCTTGGTGTGTTTTCTGGCTCCAGCAGCATCTGCTACTGCCGAAAAAAGACAAAGATGTCCTGGAGGTGAACAAACACAAGCTGCTGAAGTGTCTCACTGGAAGGCAGCCTGAGCAGGAGCAGAGCTCAGTCTGGGTTTAATGTTGGTGTGTTTCACTCACTTCCCTCCACGAGGAAGTAAAAACTTATGAGGCTCTAACCTGGGGAGGTTTGCTGTTTATTTGTGAGGTGATTCTCTTTTAAAGGAAAAGTCTGCTGAAAATTTAAAGTCTGAAGTATCGAATATGCTCCACAAATGGCAGACGATATATAAATCATCCTACTCAGCTTGTGAGAGCAGTTGTGTTATTTCTTCTGTACCTCTGGAGGAGCTTTATCTAGTGTGAGAAAATAACCCTGATGATGTCGTGTTGATGTCATCAGGGTTACTTTAACTGAAGCTTGCAAAGTACAGATTTAGAAACTGAAAGCCTTGATCACAAGTTGAAGGCTTGGAGTTTGAAAGACAGCATTTGCGAGGTAGCGAGGGTCTAGGAGAAGACACCACTGAGTTGCATTATGGGAAATGTAGTATCCAGTGTCTTTAGAGCTTAAATATAGCAGCAACTAAAAGTAAGGATACCTCACTTGCTTCTGGCGCTTCGATTTTGACGCTCCATCTGTCAGTCCATCTCACAACTCCCTCAACTTTATGTTATAACATGGAGCATCGCTTTAATGCACTCCCAGAGGACGAACCCTTTAGATTTAAATGTATAAATGAACCTTTATTTTTGTTGTTGTTTTTGTTTACTCTTGCTGAAGCGCTAAGCGTGTTTTTCTGTCCCACACATTCATGTTCTGAGTGTAATGACCACTGTGACCTCTAGGGAGCGCCAGCAGGACTGAGGACTGATTGTCTGGTCGTGCCACTTGACTGGAGAGGTTCTGTGACTCTCATTTTCAGGACCATTACATCATCATTGTCTAAAAACCACACACATACACACACATGCTCACACAGGCTCACAGCACACACACAGCTCAGCCCTGCACACACACACACACACACACACACACACTCTCGCACGCAGCGTGTGAGTGAGGGGAGGACAGATTGAGATTTGCTGTTTGCGTCTGTGCGGAGCGTAAAGTTATGTGCATTTGAATTTGAGAGGGTGTGAGGAAGAGGAGGAGGAGGAGGAGGAGGAGGAGGAGGAGGAGGAGGAGGAGGAGGAGGAGGAGGGTGGTCTGTCGGCTGCAGGATTCCATCACTCTTAGCAACCGTTGTTGAGTTACCACGGAAACGCTCTGCGATGTTCTCTGCTTCTCCTTTGTCCTCCTCCATCACTCCTCTCTCTCTTTCTCTCTCACTCCATCCTGTCTTTATTGCTGGTCGACTTCCTTCTTGCGTTGCTACGGCGATGCTCTGGGACAGCTGAGCTGGATCATTTTGCAGCCGCAGTGCTGGAGTGCAGAGCTCAACTGTTCGCTGTGAAGGAAGTCGTCAGCGTGATCGACTGAGAGACGCCGTCAGTCTGCTCCTGCTCTTCAACTTTTTAAAGAACACCACACTTTGTCCTGTGACCTTTAACCCCTCTGCTTCTCCTGACGGATCAGATCACAGGTCATCATTTTGGATTGGCCGGGCTGTCCTGTGACATCACAGGAAGTTGGATGAAGTTCCACTGAACCCGGCTGTCATCAGCGTCGATGTTTTCACAACTCCGTCAGTCTGAGAGACGTCCGGACGCTTCACAGAGACCAAACTCTACTCTGTGAACACTCATATCAACACTTAAAGAAACCCCACCTCCTTCTCCTCCTCCACCACGCTGAGATGAACGAGGAGGTGGAGGAGTTGCAGCTGCCTGAGGAGGTGCAAGAGGCTGAGGGGCAAGAACTGCAGGGGAAGGAGGAAGTGCAGCAACAGGAGATGCAGCAGCAAAGTGAGGAGGTGCAGCAACAGGAGGGAGTGCAGGAAGAGAAGATGCCCCAGCTGGACGTAGAGCAGGAGGAGGTGGAGTCTGAGGAGGTGCCGCAGAAAGAGGAGGGGCAAAATGAAGAAGAGGTGCTGCAGGTGCAGGAGGAGGTGCAGAGTGAGGAGCACCAGCAGGCTGTGGAGGTGCAGGAGGAGACACAGATTGCGGAGCACCAGAAGACTGAGGAGGTGCAGCAGGAGGAGGAGGATATGCAACAGGAGCAGGACGAGGTGGTGCAGCAGGCTGAGCAGGAGCAAATGGAGGAGGAGCAGCAAACTGAGGAGCTGCAGCAGACGGAGGAGGAGGAGGAGCAGAGGCAGGAGGAGGAGGTGCAGGCTGAGGAGATGTCACAGACTGAGGATCAGCAGACGGAGGAGCAGCAGCATACTGAAGAGGAGCAGCAGTCTGAGGAGAAGCAGCAGCAGATTGAAGAGGTGCCGACTGAGGAGGTGCAGCAGGCTGAGGAGGTGCAGCAAACAGAGGTGAAGCGTATTCAGGACTTTGAGGACGCTCTGGAGCAGAACCACAACAACCAGGTCCTGATTCGACTCAGAGGGATGTGAGTAAACACAGATGATGTAATGTTGATGATAATGATGAAATAGCACCATCAGTAATCTGTGATCGTGTCGTGAGAATCGATCACTGATAGTTTTGGAATCAGTCTGACAGCCTCGGGGACGGCATCAGTGTGGTTGCCGTGGTGATGTTGGCACGGACCAAGGATGGAGGGAAGACGGATGACAGAAAATGAGTGAAAACCTGTGGGCGTGCGACATCACTGAACATAAAAGAGGGAGAGAAAGGGAGAGACGGTGTGTGTGTGTGTGTTTTTGATGAGGTCACAGCTTCCCGTTCCTCTGTCTATCTGTCTGTCTGTCCCTCTGTCTGTCCCTCTGTCTGTCTGTCTGTCAGATATTTTCTCAGTCGTGGAAGCTAACAAGCTCACATCGCAGCAGGAACGGCATCACCACATCTGCCTGAGTCCGAGGCTTCGGCAGCAGATGTGAAGCTGCTCGCCTTTTTATTTATTTATTTATTTATTTTTTGTTCTCCGTGGTTGCTATGGTAACGGCAGAGCGTTGCGATGCAGCAAACTCTCTGCAAAGATAGATAGATGAGGAGTGAGAGACGGAGGGAGAGAGTGAGAGAACAGGATGAAAGCACAGTGGAGGCAGAGAAGAAGAGGAGGGAGACAAACAGAGCGTCAAAAATGCTCCATTTAACGTCCTGATGATGTTTCAGGTGTCTGTTTACACGCTCATTACATCATCACAACACACACTGGGGGACATACATGGCTTTAAAGTGATAGTTCAGATATTTTGGTGTGGGGTTGTATGAGGTACTTATCCATAGATAGTGTATTAAAAACAGTAGATGTCAGTCAGCATGTCCCCAGTTTGGAGAAGCAGGCTGGAGTCTGATGTGGAAGCGTATCAGTGTACTGCTGTGGAGTGTTTTTTTTTGTGGTAATTTTTTTCTGTGTTTCGTGGTAATTTTTTTTCCTGAATGAGGAGACGAGATACTTAAAAATCTTGCGAGAAGCTCCCACCTGGCACCTGCAAGTGACCCCTGTATCCATGGTGACTCCTGCTCATGGATGTATTTTGCATCTGTGCTCCTGCTCCTAGACAATTTCAACTACGGGATCAATAAGGATAAGACACGTAATTAGTTACACACAGGGTATGATAATCTAGCTATGTTTTCTACTGCATCCTTCTAGTGTAGGCCTATCGCTCAATGTAACAGGTTAGGTTAGTAACAGGTTGTAACAACGTTAGCTGACAAACATGTATGGGCATGATTTTACAACCTGTTACTAACCTAACCTGTTACATTGAGTGATAGGCCTACACTAGAAGGATGCAGTCGAAAACATAGCTAGATTATCATACCCTGTGTGTAACTAATTACGTGTCTTACCCTTACTGATCCAAAAAAAAAAACAAAAACATGAAAAACAGGAAAAAAATACCACAAAAAAACAGAAAAAAAATTGCCATGAAAAACAGAAAATATTACTCAGAAAAACAGGTTTTTTTTATTTGTCAAGTGAATGCAATACGCTTCTGTGCTTCAAAGCCCGACTCCATTGAGAAAAACAGTGATTTAACATTGCTGAACACAGGAGCTGCTGGTCTACTGCTGCCTCCATCAGTTATTTCATTTGTGTTGTGTGACTTTGGAGTTTCAAACGGTTAGGTCAGATTCACCAAAGTCACGCAATGACACAAATTAACGAACCGATCGAAGCAGCAGTAGACCAGCAGCTCCTGTGTTCAGCGAGCTAAAATTACTGTTTTTCTCAATGGGGTCTGGTGGCTTTGGCGAGAGCATAGATGGGGAACTGAAGCTGTTAATGTCCTCCCAACCTGTTCTGAAATACTGCCACTTGGTCAGACACAGACAAAAAAAGCCATCCTTTTATGGCAGTATGAAACACCACCGGGCGGCATCCGTTTATAACGCTGCCAGACAGTGTTAGCTTGAAATGCAGCAGGACAATGCAACTTTAAGAGATGGAAGGTCCTTATAGGGCAGGCAGGAGGGGCGGTGGATAGATGCAACAAACACTGGACTTTCACCCAGGAGCCTAGTGTTTGCTCCTTGTATGAATGTTGGGGCAAACCATTATGTTTGTTTTTAAACATAACCACGTGTTTTTCTTGCACATGGAAAGAAGGTGTTTTACCGACATTGTAAGTTTATTTTGTAAAACCCAGTATGCATCTAACAAGCAGAAATTGTGCATGCTCTGTGAAAAAGGAAGTGTATTTTGAAAAGGCATAAATTGACACGTAGGTAATGCCTCATGTGTGGACGTGAAACTCCGCTGACTGAGCGGTGATATGTGATGAGTTGGGAGTGAGAATATGTTGGTCTTCCTCCATCAAAATTGGCTGTCTGATAGAAAGATAAAGCAGTTACGATATTCTAAATATAGCGTACACTTAAACCCATATTGATTTTTTTTAGGTGGCTAAAATATGTTTCGCTGCTGCCTCCATCCACTGCAGTACATTGCTTAGCTTAGGTGTCAGACTCCAGCCTGCTTCTCCAAACTGGGGGCGCGCTGACAGAAATGTACTGGAGGTAATACACTGACTATGGATAAGTACCTCATACAACCCCACTTTAAAATTTGAACTATCCCTTTAATGGAGACTGATGAGAGCAGGAATTACATCATGTAGTAAAAGCATCACAGCTGATCATGAGATTAAAGGAGTAGTTTGGCATTTTGGGAGCTGATTGGGAGCAGGCAGGAATTTAAAACAGCTGCAATCACATACAAGCATCCATCCATGTGTTCATGCTTTGACTCACACACGACCTCACAAACACTCTGTGGTCCAATGATGCCTTGCTGCAACCAGCTCATGCGTTATGAAAGGGTACATGTATATATGTGTGTGTGTGTGTGTGTGTGTGTGTGTGTGTGTGTGTGTGTGTGTGTGTGTGTGTGTGTGTGTGTGTGTGTGTGTTTCCGTTTACAAGTTATGTGCCTTTTTATTACTGCCCTACGAATGACATTAACATAAAGTTACGCAATTCACGTAAAGTTACTGTGGTTAGGGTTAGGAAAAGAAACATGGTGACGATGCACCTCAAAATGATTCAAAGTTCTTTTTAAAGGCGTTGTATGTAAGAATGTGGCCAAAACGGTTACTGCACTCAAATTCAAAATACTGCAGCGAGTCGTGTCCGCCCCCCCCTCCCCTACAGATTCGAGGTTGCTGGACAGCGGCACGCTGGAGACTGATTTGTTTGCCCACAGGCGGCTGCCGTGGCAGGGCCGCGTCGCCGTGTCCTTGATCTTTGGTTTTCCAGCGGACCGTTGGAGCAAGTCCGGCTTCTCTGCTGCTAACGCTGCTGCCAGGATACAGCGGAGGAGGAGCCGGCTGCTAATGCTATGTACCGGGACACTGCTAATGCTGCTTGCCATGCTGCTGTAGCTCAGTCGTAACTGTAACTGATGCTGAGACTCTACTGACTGCGTGACTGGTAGACGGCGGTGGGTGGCGCAACAGGCCAAAACACAAATTCAAAACATAAACATGATTTGCGGACCATAAAATATTTTTTTAAATGCGAATATTCTGGCTGTACTATTGTTGTCGGTGAGATCAGTATGTTATATGAACATTATTCCTTAGTCTCTGTGACATATTAGGAGGATTTTACGACTATTTGCTTTAGATTTCTTACATATAGCTCCTTTAAGTTCACACTGTTCCAAACGCCGGTCTCCTGGATAAAGTCCTTCTTTTTTGACCCATCCACCACCCCAGCTGTCTCCTTCTTTTAGTGCTCCCTTCTTCACTCTTGTCAGCACATTGGTCACGTGGTCGCAGCCTTCCCAAATATGTGGGTTATACGCCAGTTACTGGCTCATCACTACGTGGGATAATTACAAATCCTGGTGCGTTACTTTCTGTAGGAAAATGTATGAACAGCGCATGACAACAGCCTGCGGTACTACATAAAGCAGATAATTTGTAAAAAAAAAAAAAAAGTGGTTCCTCTGTCTCCTCGTCATGTTTGTACTAAAACAACCCATCAGAGCCGAGGAGTCTCTGACACAGCTGTCAAGCATGTCGGTCACTGCTCATGAAATTCAGTCAAACTGTCAAACTAGGCGGCACAGATCAAATACGAATCCAGTTTCTGTTACTGCATTTCCTATTTCTCGCCTAATATGTTTTCAGAAACATATTTTAGTGTACTATTTAGCTGTAAAGTGAGAGACCATGTTTATGAAGCTTTGCATTACCTCATGCAGGACACGGAAGTCATACACCCAGCTGTGATCAGCTGACTCACAGCCCATTCTCACACAAGGTGGTCCATTAAATTCCTACTCATTGATCGCTGCCACACTAACCCCCAAATTCCACCAGATGCGTAGCGGAGCCGATACGTTTCAATTCTAGTCAATGTGTGTGCTTCCTCTGGCTGCGGCTGTGTTGCGTTCCGGCTCCGTCACAGCTGCGGCGCTCCGGAGCCCTCCACAACAGATATGCAGGACTTCTATTTTTGCTGGACGCTGGAGCACAACGCAGCAATTCAGCACAGAGCAGATCGTGCGGGGCAGGAAGTCGTGCACAGAAACAAAATAAAACATCTGGTTAATTTTCAAAATAAAATACACAGTGTCCACGGCGGATCATATTTCCCTGCACTACACCTTGAAAACGTCATAATGAGCAGAGGCAGGCCTGAAGTCAACAGGTCAGAGGTTTTCAGATGTCATTTCACCCCGTTGACACCATGGACGAGGAGATGTTAATCATGGAGGTGCACCCAGATGTCTTCCTACTACTCCTCTGGTTTTGTGGCTCTGTTTATAGAAACTACATCTTGTTATATCGCGCGATTATGCATGATTTTCTTGAGATCTCGTGGGTCCTTGTGACTCCCGCTGTCCGGCGGAGCTGCACCGCTCCGCACAGCAAACGCAGCCGGTGGGTGTTGACGGACAGCGGAGCACGCAGCGAATAACCAGCGCTGCCGTTCCGCAACAGACACACATCCAGTGGAATTCCGGTTTAA